TCACAGGCTGCTGCGTGTCTCTCTGTGGTCTTTTATGATTTTTGGCATAAAAGAAAAATCGGTAATTTTGACCCATACAATGTATTTTTGGTAATTGCTACAAACATACCAACTTAAGCAACTTAAGACTGGTTTTGTGCTCCAGAGTCACATTTATCATTTCTGAACTGGATTATCGCTGTTTAATTATGTAATTGATATGATATATTCTTACCTGTCAAATAAAATGTTATATTTTATTTACTCTGAACTTTTCTGACTAGCAGATTATGTGGAGACTGATGTTAGCTGAGAACAAACTAAAGGCTCGTTGATGAATGAAGCAGCAGGCTCGTCTTTGGAGACATTTTGATTTCTGTCTATCACTGACTTAGCAAGTTGTATTGAAGTGACCTAACAAACTACACTTTTTGCTCTAAGCAAGCATGCAGTTGGCGGACGACTTTATGATATAGGTTAACCTTGCACCCTCCGACTGAGATCATACTGGTGAGTTTGTGATCGTGAGATCCACGACCCCGGCCGCATGAAACTCTGTACGACATTGGGTCTCTAATGAACAAATAACTGCAAATATGTGATATTCAAATTAAACAAATATCTAAATTAATATATAACCAATATTTGTGATTAGTTACTAATTAGAAACAGTCAGGTTAAACACAGAGCTAGAATCAAATTGAAACTAAATCCTAATAAATTAGGTAAACTCTATGGAAGTGTAAGTAAAATACCTACACACATTACACGCAGCTGGATTCTGTGGTTGAGCCGATGGGTGGACCCTACAATACTGTGATCAGAAAGCTGATGAACAGAAAACAGCATCATTACTGCAGTGATGAAAGAGAAAAGCTCTGACCTGAGATCAGGTAGAAAGTGAAGAAGATGAGGAGGATCTTCATCGTGACTTGAGTTCAGTCTTCTTTATGCTGAATGATCTCTGTGTGAATCTCTCTGTCTGCTTTAGTTACTTCCTCTTTATTCAGCTCTTTATCAGTAATGAGCAGCTTTACTGGCTCCTCCCAGCATCACCACTGACTGAATATCACATTAATCACACTGAAAGAGCGCCACCTAGTGCAAGATACAGTGTCTGACACTGAGAGCTCATACATGTTTCATGTTCTCTATATAATAACAAATGACACAATTGCATTATTTAAATCTTCCACTAAAGTGCGCCAGTATAATCGATATGTACGGCCGTGGCCTAAAGTATTGGCAATGACAGAAATTTTGTGATTCACAAAGTTTGCTGATTCAGGATTTGTAGATTATTTATCATGTTTGTATGGTACACTGGAAAAGAGTGATAAGCATCAATGCTTTACTTGGCAAAAAAATAAAAATAAAATCAATATATGCAAAAAGAGTCAGTATTTACAGTGTTTCACCTTCGTCTTCATAACCTTTGCTATTCGCTCTGGGATGCTGGATATCAGCTTCTGGGCCAAATCTTGACTGATGGCAATTCATTCTTGCCTTATAATTTGTTATTTGCAATAATAATAATAATAATAATTTGCTACATTTATATAGCGCTTTTCTGGGTACTCAAAGCACTTTACACAAAAGCAGGGGAATCTCCTCAATCACCACCAGTGTGCAGCATCGACAGCCATAGTGCACCAGAACGCCCACCACACACCAGCTTATTGGTGGAGAGGAGAAAGAGTGATGAAGCCAATCAGTGTATGTTTTATTACACTGCTTGTTTTATTACACAATCTTATCTGCTTGTCCACTTGCTTTTTGAGGAGTGACCACAGGTTCTCTATGGGATTAAGATTCAGAGAGTTGCCTGGTCACAAGTTAAAAATTTAACTGAAATGATATCTGAGCCGCTCCATTATCTGTGCTCTATCATGCTGGAAAATTCACAGATCATTGCCAGATTGCTCCTGGGTCATTGGAAAAAGATGTCCTTGCAGATGGTGTCAGAATATAAGTAATACCACCTGATCTCATTTTCTGTTGGCTTATCTAGCTGCTATAACTCAGCTACACAAAAAAAAGTGCAAAAAGCTTAAGGGTCAAGAGTCCAACTAAAGCCAACACTGACCACCGTAATGGTAACCTATTTTTTCCTAAATTTTTCTCCTTCAGTGATTCTGTTTGTTAACATCCGGTGTCGTCAATAACTCTGTTTTGGGGGCTTGAAAGCACAAGCTTTCGAACACAATGCCTTTATCATCTCCATGTAATCAACAAAAACGTGAATTTGTGAAAAAGTTGAAGTCATGTGCATGCATATAATGTTTTTGCAGGGTGTTTCTTGATCGCCAACTACTGGCCTAGCATGCATAACATAGTATTCATTAGCATATTGTTGTTGTTGTTGTTTTTCTGTCCAATGAAGCCAATATTTTAGTTTGAATTTCACTTACATTTTTCATGATATTTTACACATTTTGAATGGTTAATTGTTAGCATTTCATTTTATTAATTCTATTTAATTCCAATGTGTTGAATTAATTAATAATATTGCTTGTAATATTTTGAAACAAATATATTTAATCATTTTTTACAGTGTAGGTTTCACAGTGCATTGCTGCTTTTACTTGACTTTACAGTAAACTAATGGCAACAGTGTTGCCAGTGTATTACTGTTTTACAGTTTGTTTGCCTTAAAATTAATTACATTAGTTAAAATTAAAATTAGTTAACATAAATTGTGTGGGTGTGTCTTTTTAGCGTACACATTTAACCCTTTTAACCCCACATGAAAATCATGTAGTGTCCACACTACAAAGAGAAAAAGTAACACTGGCGAAGGGTTGCAGTGAGATTAAGTGAATATGTAAGTGATTGTTGAGCATTAGTGATGAACACCTGCTGTTAACAAGCAGAATCACTGATGAGGAACAAGAACAGAACACTGAAAAGAGACGAGCAGAAACACAACTACAACTGACTTCCAGCATTACACATTATTACACTTATTACTAACCAGTTTGATTTTATTTCTGTCATACGTCTACAGAAGCTCTTATTGAGAATTAGCAAAGGTTCAGATGTTTGTGTTTTATTGAAAATGTGCTTTCAAAGTGCATTTATTACAGCAACAACAGAGAAAGTAAGATGATTAGTGAGTGCTGGTTGTTGGTTATTGCTCATCATGTAGTTCTTTGATTCATTAATCTCATTCTGTGCCAAATGTACAGCACTATTAACACAGTTAAACATCAAATTACCGCCACTGAGAAACTACAACAAAAAGTTACAGCAGTAAGCAGTTAGAATGAATTAATTATGAACAAATTTATAATAAACAAGAATACTGCTTCACTGAGAAACATGCAGATATCACAAATCAGCATAGACATCATAACAATGGTAGCAATAAAAGAAACAAAGAGAAACTTTCCATATCTCAAAACAGGCTAGAAAATGTCACAACAAAAATATCTGCAAAAAATACATGCAAATAAAGAAAATAGTAAGAACATTCAGCTGCGTAATTTATTCACGCTGCAGTGCATGCTGGGAGTTTCATTTTATGCTGTACCCAGCATGCATTGCGGCATGAAACTTCTGTTACCATTGTTGAGCTTCCTGTGCTGATTGTTGATGTCTTTGAGTATTTACATGATACTTGAGTTTCAAAACTGAAAAATTTAGTTAAAGTACAATTAGTGAAACTCTGTTACTCCTCAACAAAAACCATAACGCTTTGCAGTCGTGGATGTACATGCAGTGCAAACACCCCATGCAGTTAAATCAAACATTAAATGAGATCAGATTAAATGAGATCAAGTTGAGTGCACCTTAGCTCTGTCATCATTGTAACACAAATATCATCTGACACGTTTAGTCTTGCCATAAGAAATGTTCTTTTTGAACACACAGTTAGAGCAGACAGAAAATGTCTTTTGGTAAAAGTCAAGGTTCAAGGGCACAACTAAAGCAAACACTGACCTCCGTAGCGGAAACTTCACAACACTCAGTGTGAAAGGGTCTTAAAGCTGAGGCTGGAAGTCAGTTGTTGTTCTTGTGTCTCTTTTTTTCTGTTCTTGTGTCTCTGTCCTTCAGTGATTCTGCTTGTTACCATCAGGTGTTCATCAGTGTCTGAATTCACTCGCTTCCTTTCATTCACTCGGTCAAGTAAACTAATGTAGGGAATAGTGAATGAGGATATAGGGTGTGATTTTGAACAACCTATCAGTGCCTACTTTGAGCTCTGTTAATTCACAGTATATTCCTGTAGGCTGCTTTCTCCAAAATGACAAATATCACCTAGAATGCATTGTTTTCTACAGTACATTACTGTTTTTATAGAAAGTGGTAAGTTACTGTCAGATTTTGGCCATTTTTCTACAGCAAGGGTTAACAGTGAATGGTTAATTTGTAAGCATCTCGTTTGATTAATTCTAATGAATGCCTATGTGTTGAATTTAATTAATAATATTGCTTGTAATCTGTTGACACAATTTTATTTAGTAAATATAGTGTATCATTTTTACAGTGCATTTACATTTGTAGGTGAATAATTTTCCATATATAATAATGAGTAAATTCATTATATACCAAATTTTGAAGTCAACAGTATGCTCATAAAAAAACAAAAACATAATTTTCTTTGAGTTGTGATTCAATCTTAGTACTTTGTTTAACAAAACAAAAAAAAGAAAACAAAAAAAAAGAAAAGCCAAATCACACCAAAATATTTTTGTTTAAATACAATCAAAAAACAAATGGACAATACTCTCAGTTTCCTCTTTACAGAAAACACACTTCAAGTCAATGTCTTTACAAAACTTTGCAATTAGGATAAATACAATGAACAATCTTAAATGATACCTCTATAATTTTATTTGTGATACAAAAACGTCTGGAGATCTTAAAGGTCTCTTTCCAGTTTCCAAAAACCAATGGCTAAAGGAACACTGGAAATTTCCGCCATTTGAATATGCCTGCACTAGACTGTAAGCAACAAAAATACAAAAAAAACAAAACAAAAAAACATTCAGCTCATTGAGATTCTCTGCTGTTACTCGTCAGGCAGTGAGATGATTGACAGCAGCGTATTCACTGTAGTCCTGATTATTCCTCAATCTGACACTGTCAGGACAGTCCGCTTTCTTGTGGAAATTCACCACGGCGTAATTCAGATCCTCAGCAGATGTGATCAAGATCTCAGAGTCACCAGTGGCTTTCTGAACTGTAGCGTAAACACTGCTAGAAGAAACAGAGGGGTTTGTGGGTAACTGAGCAGTGGCATAAACAGTGTTGGATGAATTAGAGGGGGTTTTGGGTAATTGTTTGTGAGTGTATTTAATCTCCTCATAATCGCAACCAGTGTGAGAAACCTGCAGAGAGACAGAGAAATCATTTACAGCTCTGAAGATTATCATTATGGAGGCATTAGAATTTATTCTCATTATGAATAAAAATCAACATAATGTTTTATACAGTAACTGGACGAACCACTTCATGTTTTCCTGCTCCAGTCTGAGATGATGAATCACTGTCTGATAAAACAAGAGTCTTAAATTAATGACATTATATCACATTTCAACACTGATGTCTAATGGACATGTTTTCACACATCGTCAAATTTCTGTATTCTGTAGTTGAAGCCATTAGGAGGTGAAATAATCATAGTGAAGAAAAAAACAAATCCTCATTTTAAACTCTGTATGAATGGGAGTTTCTGTATCTAAATGAGCTTTACCTCGAGAATGATGCTTCTTATAGAGAAATAGTAACAAGACAATAACAATGATCAGAACCAGAAGAACCAGAACGAGAGGAATGATCAGAGAAGAGCCTGAAAACACAGGAGAAACAATCAGATCAATCAATCTGATCACTCTGAGCTGAATATCAGATCATATGTTTATATTTTAGCACACAGGCACCTTTTAACATGTTAGGAGACTCTGATGTGAAGTTAGATGTGGATGTTTTGAAAACAGACGATGATGATGATGATGATGATGATGATGATGGTGGTGTTGATGATGAAGGTAGTAATGATGGTGTTGCTTTTGGAACATCTGTGTCTAAAACAATAATAACATGGCGAAACAAACAAACTGTTTTTATGTAAACGCACAGATCTTGACATCACATGTTTCAGTAACGTGTCTGTTACTGATGTCATTCACACGTCCTCTGTCCTGAATTCATGTTTGCTGAAGCACACACACCCAGAAAACAAAACCAACAGCAAGCTGTTAATTTGAGTTTTAGGAACTTAGATATAAGCACATGAGTAAAATAAGCACATAGTGAACAATACAAAACAGTACAAGTGAAAGACAGACACTATTTCAGTATTTTCATCTGCAAGCTTCCTTAACTGCAGTTTTAACTGTAGCACAAATGTGGTAAAGTAAACTCACAGCAATACTCAACACTGCACTTCTGCTGCACATGCAAATGACAATTAGTAATACTGAGGCCAAATGAGCACAATAAAAATGTATTTGCACAGTCAAGCAACATAGTACAGTGACCATGCTGAATGGAAGCTAGCTGTGATTATTAATTACATTCTGATTAATATCAGTGAGAAAGTCATCTGTACCTGTAACGCTGAGGAGGACTCGTGTGATGAAGCTCTTGTGTCCTTGATCAGACTGAACTCCACACCAGTATTCAGCTGAATGCTGTTGAGTCACATGACTGATGGTTCCCGTCAGGAGCTGCTGCTCTCTGTCATCATACAGCTGCATCTGTCCCTCAGCGCTCCATCTTCTGCTCTTCTTCACAGACGTCTCTTCAGCACAGAGATCAGATTCAGATCTCCTGCAGACAAACTTCACATCAGCACTGTGGGATTGTGGGTATTTGCAGCTGATGTTCGCAGATCCTCCTGCAGCAGCTGATAGACTGATGCTCTTCTCACAACAAGCAGCTGCTTGAGAGTCAAATCAAGTGCAGCAATGTTCACATTAAACAATAGATTCATGATTTTTACCATGTAAAGCAAAGCATGCATGAATTAAAATGGCTCACCCTTCTTAATGTCCAGGTAAAACTCCAAGAAGAAACTGTAGTCTTCAGAAACTGTAACTATAATCTTATATTTTCCAGAATCTTTCACATTCAGGTCTCTTATAAAAACATGTAAGAAACCTTCAGATCTGTCATCATAAACAGAGAATCGACTGCCATGTTTCCATTCTGCTGCTCTGTTCGTGTTTATTAGAGTAAAACACTGAAGTGCTTCAGTATTACAGACATCTATCAAAAGGTTCTTTTGTTGCATCTCATATTTAAAGTTTATTATGATGTTTCCTTCTGAATATCCTGTCATCGTCCTGATTTGTTGACCTGTAAAACACAAATAATTTGTCAAAAGCACGTACAAGTCAATGAACACATCTGGTCACTTTGATGCACCATTTATGAATGCAAGTCAACTTCGTGAATGCAAATCTTACATTGGGAGATTAAAAAAGCTATTGATGGCATCTCTTATAGGTTGCACATGTTAACCACATCAATTACAGAGTATTGCGATGTTGTGTAGATCATTGTGAGTTTGAGGGTTTCAGTTACCTGTTATAACATTCAGATTCACTTCAGTGTAGGAATCTACTTTTGCATAAATATCAACTCCACACTGGTACGTCCCAGAATCCCGTTCACTCAGATCTCTGATGGTCACAGTGAAAACTGCTGCTCTTGTGTCGTCATACAGAGAGAATATTTCAGAATGAACCCATTTGTTTTTCTCTTCAGTCTTGATTTGGTCTGTGCACTCTGACCACTGTCCTCTACAAAAATACTTAGCATTTTCTGTATATTTTCTCTCATATTTGCATGTGATGCTGACTCCTCCTCCTGAATATCCTGTCACACTGATGGAGCTCAGCACACCTACAACAAACCAGCATCTTAATACAACACTGATATATTTATATGAGAATGAACAGAGATTAACTTTCAAATTGCTTTTAAAGTTTTTCAAATCCATTTCAACAACATGAGCTGAAGTGAAAGACTTTGTGCAGTTTTAGTGATTTACTGTGAGTTCAGAGTCTTACCAGGAATCATCAGCAGAGTGAAAGTCCAGATGATCTTCATTCTTCTCCCTTATTCAGTGATCTTCTCTGTTGTTAGTAGATTCAGTTCTTCTGAAGCTCTCGATGTGTGTTCAGATGAGTTCTGAGTTTTTCCCTGGTTACATGTTTAACATGAACTGTTGAATGTGACAGAGACACCCACTTCCTTTGAGAGAGAGAGAGAGAGAGAGAGAGATGATTAATGGAAAAGGAACTGAAACTATATTTCACACACAACTCACATAACCGTGAAGAACTCAGACAAAACAGACACATGCAGATAGAACACATTATAAAAGAATAATTCTGTTAAAATCTCTGTAAAAAATGGGGGGGTTCCGGTTGCATGGCAATGGCATAAGACGTGCTTGACCCGAGCTCCCGCCGAACTCTATAAACAAATAAATGCCTTGTAACAAAAAATTGTGTGAAATCTGATTGTGTTTCTAAAATAAGAAAATAGGTGATATGCGGGCCAGGGGCGGAACAACTACGCAAATATAAATACGATGCATCATCTGGTACTAGGCCCAATGCCGCCTCGACTTATGTGTATGTATGTGTATGTGTGTGTACATATATGTGTGTATGTATATGTGTATATATATGTGTATATATGTATATATGTGTATATGTGTATATGTATATGTGTGTATATATGTATATATGTGTGTATGTATATGTATATATATATATATGC